TTTGCTCAGTGGAGCCTGTGATCTCGAGAATATTCTCTGTTCTTTTTTGTCTCTGATTCTGAGCTACTCTGGAGAGAAATCAATCATCAATGGACATCTCACTCTTCCCAATTCTTGTTTTTTAAATCATTTTATTGGGGTTTCATACAACTCTTATCATCCATCCATCCATCCATCCATCCATCCATCCATCCATCCATTGTGTCCTGCACATTTGTACATTCATTACCCTCATCATTCTCAAAATATTTGCTCTCCACTCAAGCCTTTGGTATCAGCTCCTCATTTCCCCCCTCCCTCCTCCCTTCCCCCTCCCTCATGAACCCTTGATAATTTATAAATTATTATTATTTTGTCATGTCTTACACTGTCTGACGTCTCCCTTCACCCACTTTTCTATTGTCCATCCCCAAGGGAGGAGGTTATATGCGGTTCTTTTTATTCGTTCCCCCCTTTCTATCCCACCTTCCCCTTTCCCTCCTGGTATTGCCACTCTCACCACTGGTCCTGAAGGGATCATGCCCTGGATTCCCTGTGTTTTCCGTTCTTATCTGTACCAGTGTACATCCTCTGGTCTAGCCGGATTTGTAAGGTAGAATTGGGATCATGATATATGGGGGGCAGGGGACACTAGGCTTCACGATCAGACCATGTTCATCTGGGCTCTACCTGGAGAACACTCTGTGGCTGTTACCAGCATGCAGTTGACCCACATCCAAAATAATAAATTAACATTTCCATTTCCACCTCATCTACTTGACCAGATAGTCACTAAATTACTGTATTTGTTTATTCCATTTTTTTTCACCCAGTACCTACTACTTAACTTACTAGGCAATTTTCAAGATTTTGAGATTACTAAAAAGATAGGCAGTGTTCTTGCTGTTAAAGAGCTTAAAAACAGAAAAACAAACAAACAAAACAGACCCAAGCCCATTGCCTTGAGTGGATTCGGAATCACAGGGCTGCTGCGTGTTCCCGAGCAGAACTGTGTTCCCGAGGGTCTCGGTGACAAAGAGCTTTCAGACAGAGACTCTCGAGACCCTTTTGTGCTGAGTTCCCTCTGGGTGAACTTGAACCACCCAACTTTGTGTAGCTGAGTGCTTAGCCGTATGTGCCACCCAGGTAGCCTCACGGGACAGCCAGTAAACGGCCACATGAATTAGATGACTTGTGTGGCACTTTCAAAGCATCAAGCACTATCTTCGCCATTTTAATGTGGTTTGCACTGAAAAGGTGACAGCTTTTCTTCTCACTCTCTTTTATTCCCTCTCGTCTTTCTAAAAAAGATGTCTGCCCACTGATGTCCCGCCCTCGGTGTTTTAGGCTTATGCCGCCAGTGGCACATTCGGTAGTACCGAAGGTCAGATTCAGCTTCTAGTTAGCTATAGTTCATGTTTTATCACCCAGCATGCAATAAAAATTCTTGATTCGGAATTGTGCTTGATTCCGTATTGAAAACATAGAAGAATGCGTAGCATTCCACACATGTGGTTGAATGGAACCTGTGCTGATGGCCCCTCTTAGTACCCACTGCCTCCAGAGTTTATTAAACATCACACCCCAAAAGAATGAAGGGAAAACCTGAACCCACACATCCTAGACTGAAATGAGAGGAACAGAGACCGGGTCCTAGATCCCTTAGGCCCAACCGGGGGTGGCTTCTTGTCCGTGGTCTCTCCTGGGCTCTCCTGCCGGGAAGGTCAGCTGGTGACGGGACTCCTGTTGGGTTTCTTCTCACCTCCCTCTTGAAACAAGGGAGTATTTAAAGCACCAATCCCGATCTCATACTTGGGCCCATTTTTAGCTGCTAAAATAAAGAAAATTAGGGGTTCTAGGGCTGGGTAAACTTCTGTCATGCTCACCAAATTGAGAGGGTTCTGGGAGTTCTTGTATAGGAATATCTTGACTATATTTAATCCCAGGGAAACTTCACAGGGAGGCTCAGGTTAGCTCCTTATGTACAGGGGCAATGTCCAGCGTTCACTGGGAATAACAGATGAGATATTCCTGAGGCACTACTGCTGAGCCCATACCTGAGAAACAAGGAGCACGGATTGCCCTTCTTGTCCAAAGTTTGAATATTACACGAGTGATCCTTATACTTTTCTCAGTCATTTGATCCCCTCAGCTCCTTCCTTCTTTCTTGGAGGATCTGCCTATACACAATCCAGAGTCTGCTCCGAGTCCTTGCTGAGTGGCCTGTCTCTCCACAGTTTTTGCACGAGGAGCAGTCCCTGTTCAATCGAAGCCCATCGAAGCTCCTCTTGCAGAGACTGGAACAGGGGCTTCTGAGATGCTGCTGAGTACCTGCTGTCCTTTTACAGAACCGGTCCAGTCCGCAATGGGGTGTCGTGGTAGGCTCCTGTGCCAACAAGCAGCGAGGACTGGCCAACGGACGAAAGGGAAGAGATAGAGGAGCACAATGATGACCACATGCAGAAAGAAGTAGGGGCAAGAAGTCCGCTGATTTCAGAGAAACCAGGAGAGAAAGAACATTGTGAAGAATGGGGATTCTAGAATAGTTCCTTGTGTTCACATGGAAACTGTACATGGACCAAGAGGCAATCATTCGAATAGAACGAAGAATGACTGTGTATTTCGAACCAGGAAAGGTATGCATCGCGGTTTTATCTTTCCACTGTGCTTACTCAATCTGTAGGCTGAGCAAACAATCAGAGAAGCTGGTCTTTATAAAGAAGCACACAATATCAGGTTTGGAGGAATGCTTATGAACAACCTGTGAAATGCAGATGACACAACGGGCATTGCTGGCACTGAGGAGGACTCGAAGCATGTTGATGAAAATCAAGGCCTGCAGCCTCCAGTATGGATTGCCACTCAATGAAAAGGAGACCCCAAATCCTCACAACTGGACCAATGGATAACATCATTAAATGGAGAAAAGATGGCCGTTGCTAAGGATTTCATTTTGCTTGGAGCCACAATCCATGCTCCTGGAAGAAGCAGCCAAGAAATCTAATGACGGCGCATTGGGCAGATCTGCTGCACAGAACCTCCTTAAATGGTCGAAGAGCAAGAATGTCACCCTAAGGTGTGCCTGACCCAAGCCACAATATTTTCCATCTTCTCATATGCGTGTGAAGTTGGACACTGAATAAGGGAGACTGCAGAATCATTGCAATTGAATGATAATGTTAGTGAAGAATAATGAAGTACCAGGGACTTCCAGAAGAACAAATAGATCTCTCTTGGGAGAAGTACAACCAGAGAGAAGCTTAGAAGCAAAGCTGGGAAGACTTGCACTTTGGGCCTATTCTTCGGAGAGAGAATTCATCACGCTTGGTCAAGGAGAGGGTCAGTGAAAAAGAGGAGGAGCCTCCATGAGATGGAATGACTGTGGCTGAAACCATGAGCTCAAAAATCGTGAGCCTGGCCCAGGCCGCGCACTGCTCTGTCTTGTACAGGGGGTCTCAGGGCCGGGCACTGCTCTGTCTTTTACAGAGGGTCTCAGGGCCGGGCACTGCTCTGTCTTGTACAGAGGGTCTCAGGGCCGGGCACTGCTCTGTCTTCTTGAAACGAGGGTCTCAGGGCTGGGCACTCCATCTTCTTGTACAGAAGGTCTCTCTGTGTAGGGACTGAGTTGGAGTGGACTTGATGGCCCCTAACAACAACACAACCAAGAAAGAAATCTTATTGATAGGAATTGTTGGGTGGTGCTAATGGTAACCACTGGACTGCTCATGGGAAAAAAGTTGATGTTTTCAATCCACCCAGAGGTGTCTTGGAAGACAGGCCACCCAATTTATTTCCAAAAGGTCACGGCTTTGAACAACCTAGGGAGCAGTTACACTTTCCCTAGGGCGTATGGGATCACTCTGATTCAGAGTGTACGGAGCAGCAACTAATGACAACACAGCTTATTGATGAGCATAGCTTCCCCCTTTTCCTGTGTGTGTGAAATTTCAGTGAGTTTTGTTTTTGCAACCAATGGGTCCTCAGATGGATTTG